TTTTGCAGTTCTGGGGTTTGAACTCAGGGCCTCATCATTGCTAGGCAGGTGCTCTACCATTTGAGCCACTCCATCAGCCTTTTTTTGTGTTGAGTATTTTTGAGATAGGGTCTCACAAACTATTTGCTCAGACTGGCTTTGAACTGTGATCTCCTGATCTCTGTCTCCTGGGTAGCTAGAATTACAGTTGCAAGCCACCGGCATCAGGCCCTTCCCTAGTTTTGATGCAAGACTTTTTACTGCTCCTTTGATTTTTTGTGGGGGTAGGTTGGAATTTGGGATTTAAGAGGTTTGTGTCCAAATTACCATCTTATCCTATTTTTATCTTGTTCTATATGCTAATACCAAAATCGGAAAGTCAAATTTGGAAGATACTGTTTGAGAGCTGGAACAGAATACTCATAATTATTGTCTGACGGTAGAACAATAAATTTCTTTTAGATTTGTTTTGTGCAAAACAGTACATTTTTTGAGAAAGTGACTTTCCAGGTGAGGGCATAGAATAAGCAAAGACACAGAGCCAGGACATAGATGAAAGCTTCAGTGGCTGGGCTGAGGGGAGTCCCTGGAAGTATATCTGAAGGGCACTGGGAGAGGCTGGGAGCTGGGCCTTGTTTGATTGTTCAACAGCCCCAGCACTGGTAAGCATGTGGTTGGAATGACCGGTCCTCTTTACAAATAATAACCTATCATTTGTGAAGCTAGCAGTGGTGTAATGCAAAGTGAAGTTAACGTTTGAATACTTTAAAAATCCTCATCTACAAGAGCACACCTGTGCTTTCATCCAAATAGATGACAACACTTAGTAGTATGGTGAAGAAGTGAATGCTACAAAAAAATTAACATGATTTGGACAAGGAAGGCAATGAATCAGGTTAGATGAAAAATTTAAAGAAAAAAGTAATTGCAGACATATATGCACATATGTGTTAAATTGTGACATAAGAGACATGAGGTGAGGTGCATCTAGAAAGTGGGTGTAATGTTGCTTGTTGATAGCTGTGGCATCACCTGCTGCTTGTTTGTGTACCAGGGCATCTGGTCTCCAGCTGTCTGACACTCAGGCTATGGTTTGTCACCTCCTACAAGCAAATTCTTACATGAAAATAAGAGCACTGAAATAAATATTGGTTGTGTTTTTTCTTAAGTATATTTAAAATAAAATTTTAGAACAAGTTTTATTAGAGAACCTTTGTTGCCTCTCACAAAACATCCATGCATTACAGAAAATTTGACAAAGCCATAGCCAAACAGCTAGATTTGCACTCAGATTCCCTGCAGATGACCTCTGTCAAATTTGTCCTCCAAATTAAAGGACAATAACGTGGAGTTTTTGTAGAAAAGTAAACTAGATAATGTTTTTAAGACACATGGCATATACAATGGAGCTATGTCATGTACTTATTTTGCTGAAATTATTATTAAAGTTTTATGTATTGGGAACAGTTAGAAAATATGCTTCATTTCTATTGTGGGGTTTTTTTTTTGGCAGTACTGAAGTTTGAACTCAGGGCCTTATCCTTACTAGGAAGTGCTGTACCACTTGAGGCACTCCTCCAGCCCTTTATACTTTTAGTTACCTATGCCTCCCCCATAGCAGGGATCATGGGCACATGTCATCTTGCCCAGCTCATTCATTTAGATTGCAGGGGGAAGGGGAGTGTTTCACTAACTTTTTTTTTGATCTGGGCTGGCCTTGATCCTCAATCCTCCCAATCCCTGTCTCTCAAGTAGTTGGGATACAGATATGAGTCACCATGCCTGGCCCCTCGTTTCCATTGTTTGAAATGTGACTCCTAAACACAAAACAGCCATTTCATCTAAGACACAGCTCAGGAAAGAGTGAGCTTTTAACTGTTATAGGGAAAATGAATGTGTTAGACTTACTGAAAGCTGGCATGTTTACAGGTATTCATATTTACAAAACCATATAACCTGTGCTTTGGAATGATTTACAGGATTTTCAAGGCATATTTGATTACATGCATGATTTTTGTTTTCAGGTTGACTTTAAATCTCACATCACCAGCCTTAGAGGTAATAGCTAGTCTTGAACAAATGTTTAACCAATAGTGGTATCTTATAATTTTTCCTTTATTTAATGAATTTGCTAAGATATTCCTGGCTACATCCTTAGATATTTCTTAGTGCCCTTTATAGGACACAGTTCTTATTCCTCTTGGGAACAGAGGAAATGTAATAGTTCATTTATTGCTGAGACTATAACAATTCTAAGATGGTCTGAAATAAGAAATTTCAGTATTGTTCATAACTAAAGTATGGTTTAAGTACTAAGTACCCCATATCTGAAATTTTGGAAACAGAAGTGTTTGGATTGTAGTTTTTTTCCTGATACATATATATTTGGAGAGTGGGACCCGAGCCTTACTCAGAATTCATTGATATTTCATATATACCTTATACACATAGCCTGAAGGTAATTCTATATATATATTTTAGAGCACGTGCATTTTACCTTTGACCCTGTCACACCAGATTAAGTGTGGAATTTTCACTGTGGCATCATATCAACAAAAGTTTCAGATTTTAGAACATTTCAGATCTTGGATTTTCAGATTAGGATGCTCAGCCAATAACAACATTCTTAGCTGTATTCTACAGTTATTCAGTTCAGACTCTGTTTTGTGAATCACACACACACACACAGAGAGAGCTATATAATGCTTTAATAGGTATTTCTCTACTTGAATAACTTGCTTGGTTTCCTCACACTGACTCTTCCTGTTTTAGCCAAGTAGAATAATGGATCAATGGAATATCTTCTTTGGACATCTAGGGGCAGGAGTCCTGGAAATTGATTCTTATAGCCTTGTGATTCTCTTATGAAGTCTAAATGAGTCTTCCTATTTTCTTATTACATTTATTTATTTATTTATTTATTTTGCAGTGCTGCATTTTGAACTCAGGGCCTTGTACACCCTACCACTGGAGCCACACTTGCAGCCCTTTGTTTTCCTATTTATCATTTGATGTTTCAAATCACACAGAAGCTTAGATAACTAAAAGCACTAACGTAGAATGTAGGATCCTCCATTCTATTCTTATTAAATTAATGAGGAATGAAATTAGAATTATTTTTTAAAAGTGATCTTCCTTGGAGGCTTTTGTGCCAAGTCATTCACATGGAATGATAAGAAGGTGACCCACTTGGTTTGTTTGATGACCTTCTTTGCAAATAGCTGAAATAGAAATAAGATTTTTTTTTTCCTCTCAGACCTACCCTGGTTTCATTCTCTATCTGCATATTCACCATCTAAATTTTTTTTTTTTTGAGGTGGCGTCTCACCATGTTGCCTAGGCAGGCCTCAAACTCCTGGGCTTAAGTGATCTTCCTGCCTCAGCCTCCCAAGTAGCTGGGACCATAGGTTGCACTTTCACACCTAGCTCACCATCTGATTTTACGCTGATGCCAAAGGGGAAGTTCAGAAACCAACTTCTTTTAGTAAACTTTTAAAAAATAAAAACTTTTTAAAAAAACCAACCCTCTATCATTTCTGATTCTTGATAGTTTCTTCCAGTTTTTCCATTCAAAAGAATAGGCTGTGGAGTCAAAAGTGTAGGGCAGAGGGGCTTAAGTATTTTAAATTCTGCTTCACTTAAATTTATTCTATCCATGCTGATTACAAAATAGAAAAAAGCTAAGAGAATTAAGGAAAAGTAAATTCAACTGCAGAAGCTTGTAAGTAGCTAGATTAATTTTAAAAAGATCAGGAAATATTTTAAACTTCCACTAACCTTATTAAAATACACTGCTAGAAATATTCTGTTTGAGCCATTCTCATAAATTAGTCATCTTGCAAAACAGCTGTGGCAATATGATATAATAAAAAGAGCAGTGATTTAGCATCCGGAAGGTTGAGAGTTCTTATCTTGGCTCATTCTCAAGGATATTAAATGACATGCTGAAGTCCCTTAGATGAGGAAGCCATGCATGAGAGGATTAAATCAAAGAATCTGTCTTTAAAAGTCTCTTCTAAAGTCTGTGCTGGAATTTAGAAACCATACAAAGAGCATACCAGAAAATTTGGGTGAGAATAGAAGTTTCATCTCATGCAGAATTGCCATTCTTGCTCTCAGTGGACAAACAGCATCTGAAGCAGGATTCTGTTGTGTGTAATGGGTTGCACTTTAGTTTGCATAGGTAAAAAGATATTAAATGACTTGCAGAATTGTTGAAGAAATAAGAGCTTCCAGGAACAGCTTTCTAATGTCACAACATAAACTAGACCACCTGGGGATCTGCTGTCTCTGCCATGATGGAAGCCTGAAATTGGGAAGCTACTGCCCATTTGGAAAGCTACAGCATAGTTCCCAGCACAGAAGCACCTGTCTCTGCGACAGTCTGGGTCAGCATAGTGAATGCCTCATGCCATACATCTCCCTCAATTCAGGTCCCACTCCATCCAGGTTTTGTCCAAGTCTTTTTAATTGGTGGAACCTAAATCACATCTGAAACCCTAGCTGCAAGAGAGTCCTGAGATTTCATCTTTCCAACTCTGAGTATGCTCCATGGGGTTTAGAGCATATAATACATATCAATCGATTACCTCTGACAGTAAGCTAAATATTTATGATAAGTAAGCATTTATATGTTTCTTTTATGTTTACAGAGTAGACTCACATGCATTTTTTTTTTTAGAGCTGAGGTCAAGTCACTCTACTTATAAATATTGTTTCTGACTATTTCCTCAGAAACCATCTCTTAAAAATTGAGAGCAGTAGTACCTACATTATTTCCTAAAGGTGCAAAACTAATAACAGAAAACAGGATTTTAAATTTATAATTCTCCTATTTTGTGTATTCTAGCCACATCAGTTCTGTTTCCCTCTGTGTCTTCCCCCTCCACCCTCCTGGGGACCCTCTTCAATTTTTCAATTTCATGTTCTCTCTACTGTGCAGACCTGTGAATGATCAGTCGGAGGGCTCAGAGGTTGATGCTGCTGGCCGGTGGCATGGCGTCTATGTCAACAGAACATCTTCAGCACCTTCGGAGTCTTCAACCACTGTAAAGTCACTGATCAAGTCCTTTGACTTAGGACGCCCAGGTATTTAATCATTTTTTCCATAAGCAAAGTTCTACATTCAAACCTAGGCCCAACATAGCAAGCATGTCTCTATTCCACATTGACCTCCAGTTGGTACAACCACAGGGCTCTCAAGATCATGCCCCATAGCCACTGTATCAGGAGTTTGGCCGAGGTGCCAATAAGGCCACAATGGAGAGTCTGACTCAGAAATAATATAACCATAGCCCCCTTTTTCTCTTCATTCCCTCCCTACCTCCAATTCCTGCCTTACCACTTTCCTTTTCTGCGTTGTATACCCGTTACATTCAGGTTTCTACCTTTGACTTCTTCCTGTCTCCTGAGAATTAGCAGGGTCAACCAGAAGCTTTGCCTCCTAGGAATTAAGGCATTATCTCTATGGATTTGGCCCTCTTGTTGAGACCCTGGCCATTCTCACCTTGCAATATGCTGTTAGACATTTTTCTGTTTGGTCTTGTTTGTGAGCTCCTATGCTGATCTGTCATTGCACTGATCTTGGCGTGTTCCCAGCTTTTTCTAGAACAGTCTGGCTGACTCACAATTTCTCTTTAATAATGTTTATCTTATATACATGAGAAAAGTACATAGCATATGCATGCTTTGCACATATCCACACAAATGTAGTAAATAGAAAAAGAGAATACACATCTCTTCACAATATCTTTCTTCCTTTGACTTCAACAAATATGCATTATAGTGGAGGACTGGAACAATATCCAATCCTAGGGTATACCAGGTTGTCTCTCCTAAAGTAGTTTGCAGCTAAATTAGATTTCAATTACACTACACATGTGGAGAGATTGGAAAGTCCTGTGAGTTAGTTTAGATAGGACAGAAATCAACAGTAATGATGTGTGTAAGAACTTTGTTGTTGCCTCCCCCCAAGGAAACTCATTACATATGCACCTTCTTTTTCCTCAGATAGCTTACATTTAAGACCAACCCTCACTGAGCTAACTTCTCCCCTCCCATTACTTCAATCCAACTCTAGTCCAGAGGAGAAAAGGATAAACGTTGTACTTAATATCATAGGATACTTAAGACACCAAAAAGTAACAAATCAAGAATTTTGAACTGGAACAAACATATGTATGTTCAAATCTCTTTTCTTGGCAGGTGGAACTGGACAGAATATTTCTGTCCACAAGACTCCCAGGAGTCCCCTAAGTGGAATACCAGTGAGGACTGCTCCAGCAGCCGCTGTCTCTCCAATGCAGGTATTAGAAGGGCCCCCCAAATAGTTCTTGGTTCATCCTTCTAGATGTTCTTTACACATATAAGTGTGTGCATGTTGAGGAGAGCAGGGGAACTTTATAAATTGGTTTCCGCATTATTTTCACACTTGCTTTAACAGTGTAAGCTCTGTGAGTGCAGGTATTTTTGATCTTTTCCTTGCTGTTAGATCTATTCTCTAGAACAATGGGGGATGCATAGTCACATCACAGTAAAAAACTCAATAAATGTTTGTTGCTCAAATGAAGGAATATATCAGACATCTTTAAATGTCAGTACATGGGGGAATAATTCATTCTTTCTAAAGTCTACATCATAGGCAGTGATTTACTTAGGCCACTCTTCAATTGATGCACATTTAGGTCATTTAGGATTTAACTTATTACAAAAGCAATACAGTGAAGGTCTTTGAACAAATTTTTGACCTCATATGGGACTATTTTCTGTTTTAGAGTGTAACAGGATTTATTCCAAATACTAGAAACCACTATAGCTAGTTAAGGAGAAAGGAACTTAATACAATGACTTTGGTGCTTGGAGGGCTGAAGGAGATGGCTCTAGGCTCACTGAGCTTTTGGAAAAGGTTTTCACAGATTTCAAATTGGCCCATTAAAGCTTCTGTTTCTGCCAGAATTAGTACATCTATCTCTAAGTGCTTGCCTAGACCAACCACTTCTGTCAAGATCTGGCATCATCTTCAGGACCCCACTGTGACAGGTGCAGTCCATGCCAGCAAAACACATGCTTGTGCCTTGCATCATAATACCCAGTATAGCCATGGGATCAGACACTAAGATCTCTATTTCCCTGCACAGAAAAGCAAATCCCTCCACAGCCATGCTTCCCAACAGAAGCTGAAGAAAGGCAACTATATCCTCCCTGCACCTTCCAGATGTTCTGAGCATAGGCCTGTTTGATAGAAGTTAGGGAACTTGATGAACCAAGCTTTAAGGGAGTTTGGAAAATATACCCATTTGTTTCCCAGTTTCTTATAATTCAGTAAGTCACCCTACAAAGGTACTATAATGGAGTTGAGCAAGCCAGTCCTGAGATCTGCCAGAAATTGATTCCTCCTGGAATTGGAAAATGAAATACTAAAAAGGGAAATAGATTTACTCTGTCCTGGTACATTAAAAATATGATAGCTACATTGTCTTTCAATTTACACTCCCAATCACTTATAAAGTACTATTTTTCCAGAATTTTGACATCCCTTATAAATTTCTAGGATTTGAGTAAATGAACAGTGATAACTTTGTTTCACTTTGTTTATTGGTGAGGTTGAACACTTAAGTTTTTTTATAGGTCATATATCTTTTGTGTATGAATTTGTGTGGTCACATAACTTTGTTCATTTTTCTTGTTTTCCTGTTAATAAGACATTCTGACATCTGCTTTTTAACATTTGCTTTCCTTCATTTTGCTACTATTTTCTTTGTTATCTCTTAGCATTGTTTATGATTATCTTTTACTGAAGAGAAATTATGCATGTCTGTGTTCAGTGTTTTCCTTTATGACTTTAAGGGTTTTTGTGCTATCTTAAAATATCTTTCTAACTATTATCTTATTAAATTATTCTCTCTTAATATCTTAAGAAACCTCTTATGTGTTCAGTTTTAAAACCCATAGAATCATGGGTTTGTATGTAGGTGATCTTCCCTTATCTTCATTGCCTTCTGGAATACTATATCATCCAGAATGTAAATTGACATTCAGTTTTTCAAACACAGACAAATGTAGTCAATTTTCAGAATACCTGGAATACCAAATAACTAAAAACCAAGAGAAGAAATAGACCACAGAAAAAGACACAAGAAATAGGCTTTAAAACAACTGAGACTAATATAGTTCAGAAGATAAATGAAAAAGTGGTGAATTTCAGTAGAAAACTATAATCTATAAAAAATAGCCCATTAAAAATTCCATAACTTTAAATAAATCAGAGTCCAGTGAGTTTAGTTGTAGATTGAACAGTATAAGAGAGACTGAAAGAACTGGATACAGGTCAGTAGAAATATCTAAGCTGAAGCACAGAGAAAAAGGCTAAAAAATAGAGAAAAGGACACAAGAGACAAATGGGGCCAAGTAAAAAGGTCTACTTTATAGTTGTAGTCCCCCAAAAGGACAGATAGGGCAGAAGAAATATTTGAAGAGCTAATGGCCAAGAATTTCTAAAACCAACAAAGGATGTCAAGCCATAGATTCAAGAAGTAATACAAACCCCAAGCAAGATAAGAACAAAGAGAACCGTACCTAGGAACATCAAGTTAAAACTGCTGATTTGAAAGAGAAAAATACCCTAAAAACACTCAGAAGAAAACAGAAAGACATACCTTCATGGCAGAAGAGCAAGAACAAAAAAACAGCTGCCTTCTCAACAAAAATGGTAGAAGTCAAGATTACAAAGCAGCAGCTCCTGCAGAATGCTGAAAGAAAAGAATTGCTTTCTTGGATTTCTTTGCCCAGTGAAAATATCCCTTAAGAGGTGAACACAAAAAATTGACGTGTTAGCCTGGTGTTAGTGGCTCACACCTGTAACACTAGATACTTGGGAAGTTGAGATCCAAGGATCGTGGTTCCAGGCCAACGTGGGCAAAAAGTTTGCAAAACCCCATCTCACAATAAAGAAATGGGCAAGTGAACTAAACAGAACTTTCTCAAAAGAAGAAATTCAAATGGCCAAAAAACACATGAAAAAATGCTCACCATCTC